TCCCTAAAAAGGCTTTCGGGTGTTTTTGAGGTTAAAAACAAAAGTCATCAAGAGCCACAGTTTAAATTTTTCGTTCACATTTTGTTATTTTTTTTTTTTGTTGTTTGTTTGTTTGTGTTGTTCTCTGAGGTTGCAAGGGATAAACAATTTCCCTTTTCAAATCTCATAGTGTCTGTGATGTGTGAGTAGTGTGTTGTACTTTTCACTTGTCAAAAGAATGTTGTACCGAGCGTTGATGTGTGAGTAGCGTGTGTTTGTACTTACCGCTTGTCAAAATGAATGTTGTATCGAGCAAGTATATATATATATATATATCCATTGTCGATTGCTTCGTAAATGCATGATTTTCTCTATATGTTTATCTTTCGCTCGTTTTGCATTAGCTCTTCAGGTAATTGAAACAGAGGTCTTCAACATACTTTCCATTTCAAACCATGGTCCAGACTAGGATGAAATTCGACCGAGATTACAAAAGAGAAACAACCCAACACCTAAAAGGCTAAAACCCCAGGTAATGCCTCTTTCAAATTTAATACTAATTACTAACTATTAACTACACGATCGGCTTACGGTCTAAAATGCCAGGGTACAAGCCGCTATAGCAGCAGCCTTCGCCGTTTTCCAAGAAGCTCATGTCATCGCTCGGGAAATCCAAAAGCAGGTCCAAGGTAGATTCTTCGTCTTCATCCGAATCTTGGGGCTCGTTCGAGCTCACACACTCGTCACAACATTTGTTGCCCTCGGGAGGAGTCGGATTAGGCTCTCTTTGGATGGCACCATTTTCTGACAGAGTTTTCCCTCCACTTTTCAAGTTTCGAAAAGTTTCCCCGACTTCAGAATTCCACAGGCGCAGGAAGAGGTCGGACTCGGACTTGTTGGCAAACGATGAGGAGGGGAGCAAGAGGGATTCTTGGGACAGGCGGGCCTCGGCCTCTAGCCTGGCGCTCTCCCATTGTGCCATGTGGCGGGCCGAGGGAGCGCCACTTGGCGTCGAGATGGGCTCGTGGGTGTCAGGGTCGATGCCCATTAGGAGCAACCGTTTCTTGAGGTGAGTGTTCCATAGGTTCTTGATCTCATTGTCTGTTCTGCCCTGAAGCTGAGAGGCTATTGCGGCCCACCTGCAATGCCAAAAGAAGAAAAAAACCAAAAATGATTTTAAGAAAGAAAAATCTCATCTTTTGTCATTTTTATCAAGAAAACGAGCGTTTGGTTACGGGACGGTCAGGATTGGAAGAAAAATAACATCTTTTCCCACTTTTATGAAGAAAACGAGGGTTTGGTCCTAGGTCGACCAATCGGCCGGTTAGGATTGGAAGAAATATCACATCTTTTGCCATTTTTATTAAGAAAAGCGAGTGTTTGGTTATGGGTCGACAAATCGGGCAGGTTAGGATCGAAAGAAAAATCACATAATCTTGTCATTTTTATCATGAAAACGAGGGTTTTGTTACGGATCGACCAATCGGGCCGGTCATGTAAGGAAGAAAATTCAGTGATTCATCTTTTTTTAAGTTTGGATGGCATGCAAAAATGTATCATTGTTTCAGCTGTAAAAATGGATCTTTTACCTCTGCGATCGAACCCGATTTACTGAAAGATACACAATAATCAGTCAAGAAAATAGAAAAAGAAAAAAAAAAAAAAAAAAAAAAAAACCTGTTGCCAAGAATAGCGTGCAATTGTATGACAAGCTTTTCTTCTTGAGGGCTGAAAGGCCCACGTTTGATGTCTGGCCTCAGATAGTTTGTCCACCTCAACCGACAGCTCTTCCCGCAACGAAGAAGACCTGCGAGATACTCGAGCACGGCTCTTTAGCAAAACTAACCGATAAACAAGTTCGAGTTCAACTTATTTATCAATATTATTAACAAACTGAGCTATCGTAAACTAACTAAAAATCTCTGTTTTCGAGCTTTAATGAGTGGGCTATAAACGAGTTAAACAAAGCTGCTCGTTAACTTATCTGGACTCATTTATTTTGGTACTCTTAGCAAATTATGTTCTTTGAAATGTCTTTAAGTTTTAGTTTGCGAATTTTGGTTATATAAATAAGCTCCTTTAAACAAAATCTCTAATTTGAATAGTTATAGAATCATGTTAATGAACAAGATTCAAGAAAAGCAAACATGCATTAGCCTTACAAGATTATAACTTTCTGTTTTGCTTATCCTTCAATTAAACTAAATCCAAACAAGACATTTGTGACATTTTTACTCACTCTCAACAAAGATTAAACCTTTTTTTCTGAACTCTGAGTATGCACACAAAGTCACACACACACACACACACACACACACACACACACACACACCTACAGAATAAAAAAAAGAAGTAGAACAAAGAAAGAAAGAAAGAAAACAAAGGGGTACCTGCAAGCTTGGGGAGAGATCTCCAGCTGCCATGACCATGCTTGTTAATGTAGTCCAGCAGCTTCTCATCTTCCTCAGGAGCCCATGGCCCCTTTTTCAGCCCCTTCTTATCACAACATGGTGCTCTTCCCATCTCACACACACACACACACACACACACACACACACACACACTAAAACAGAGTGATATATGAGAAATTAAACTAATTTTCTTACACTTCAAATTCTTGCTTACAAACCCCTCCAAAATGGGTTAATTAATTAAAAAAAAAAAGGGAAGAAAACTAAAAGAAAAAAGAGTGAGTGTTGAGTTTGGTGAAGAAAGGTAAATGTGAAAAGATATATGTGTAGTTGTTTCAGAGGACTTTTTGGATGATGAGATGAGAGCGCCAAAATCCTTGAGCCGGCGATGCATTAATTCAATATATAGTGTACAACACACTTTAGAGTTGATGATATATAGTAGTAGGATAGTTAGATATGCAGATACTAAATATAGGGAAATGCTACAGTCCCGTTAGAAAATGAATTTGTAACCATTAGATCATCATGTAACCGTTGTGGATGGTTGATTTAACGGTTATAAACCCCGAAGGAATGGTTCTGTAACGGGATCGTAGAATCTCCACTAGATATATCCTACTAATTAATACTTGCAGAAGCAAATTAAATAAATAAATGAGTTTTTCATTTTTTTTTTATTTATTATTTTTGTATGTACTATACTGCTATATATTATTATTTATTATTGTGAGATAGTAATGTAATGTTCAACAACGTGACGAGGATATTAATTGAATGATTGATTTGGGAACAAGTGTCGTATTTATTGCTTCCAATTTGTCAGCAGTTTTCCGTGGCATCATTATATATCCTTTGGCATTTTGAAATAAAATTGATTTTGTACCCATTCCATGATTTGTTATTTAGATATAATTGTTAATGACTTGGTGTAAAAGATTAAACGAGAATCCTACGAACTGATGTATAATTTTTCAGTTCTTGTAAATGAACTAAAAATAAAAAATTACAATATAATCGGAAATATATTACGACAGAAAGAATTTAGCTGGGGCGAGTATACTCTTTCCGCAAGACGAATACGCCCCGTGTAGTACTAACGGTTTAGGCGTATCCTCCCCAAAGATACAATGGTTATCGTCTCGAAATCTGTAGCACACCAGATTTACGAGTCCAAAAAATAAGAATAAAATTATCTAATACTCAAGACAGAGTGGTTCGTGAGCATGGTCGTGTTCATGGATTTTCTTCGTTTATTGATAGTTTTAACCACAAGTAACTTTGTCGAAATGTTTTGTTTTTGAAGTGCGTTATATTCTTTCCCTATCCCTCAAATGTTTTGTTTCGTTGTAACTCCTCATTTTATTTCTACCCTTTCATCTCGCTTGTCAATTTTTTATTTTTCAAAAGGTTTTCATATATAATTGAATAGAAAGTAATGCTTTTTTTTTCAACAAATATTCATATATTTTTTTAAACAATTATTTGCATAACTTACCTAATATTTAGAGAACAATGTACCGTCAGCGTTTTTCACCATTAGATTAAAAAAAATAAGTTATATTGTGTGGATAATCTACGATAACACACCGTGACAGTCAACCGGGCTTTAGCCGTTCCCATATTTAAAAAGTATGTTGTCTATCAATTATTGCCCTCCACAAATAGTAGACGTGTTGGGGTGTGTTAAATTATAAGAGGAAAAAATGGTGAAGTAAGACTTTTGGTGTTATTAAATGCTTTGGACAGTAAAAACATAAGCTGATGAGAAAA